GAGACTCATCGCAGAACAGACCCTCGCTCCCATAATAGCTTGACTGATCTGTTCTCAGATTCTTAAGGTGGTGGCCTCTGCCCTGCTTTGCCCAGACCTCTGCCTTTGGCAGGATTATTGGTTAATCTTCCCCATAAGACAGTCTAGTCAGGTACTGCTATGGTCTAGATATGATTTGAGTATGGCCTTCAAAAGGTGGTAGAACCTTAACAAGGTACAGTCTAGTGCAAGGTAATTAGGTCAGGGACACCACCTAGGAAGAGATTGAATGCTGGTCTTGAGGAATGAGTTCTGGGAGAGCAAGTCTGGCCCTTGGATCCCTCTTACTTCCTGTTTGGCCATGTGATCTCTCCCTCTCTCACACACTCTGGCCATTTGCCATGTTATAGTATCAAGCAGATGCCCTTGGACTTCCAGAACCATGAGCTCAAAAGAGATTTCTCTTTTCTGTGAAAGTACCAGGCCTCAAATATTTTGTTATAGCAAAAGGAAATGGACTGATATCTCTATTTTAAAACTTTTACATTCTTAACAATTCGAAAACCAAACAACTCAAAGATGGACAAATTATTTGAATAGGCATTTCTCCAAAGAAGATATACAAATAATAAGCACATGAAAAGATGCTCAACATCACTGTTAGGGAACAGCAGGTTAAAATCATAAGATACCACTTCACATCCATTAGGAGAACTATTATAAAACAACAATAACAATAAAGAAAAATATAAGTGTTCGTGAAGAATGCAGAGAAATTGGAACCCTGATACATGGCTTGTGGGAACATAAAATGGTGGCAGCTACTGTGGAGACTTTTCCTTGTTTTCCCCACTGGTAACATTTTGCGAAACAGTGGTATAACATCCCAACCAGGTTATGGACATTGATGCAGCGCACCTTATTCACACTTCCCAGTTTTAGTTGTACTGTCATCCATATGTGTGTGTGTGTTAAATTCTATATGATTTTGTCAACTGGGTAGGTTTGTGCATCAACCACAGTAGTCAAGACACTGAACAGTTCCAACACCACAAGAATCTTAGTGTTTTCCTTTTATAACTACACACAGCCTCACACATACACACACCCAGCTCCTGGCCCCAGGCAACCATTGATATTTTCTCCATTTCTAAAACTGATCACTTTGAGCCAGGAATGGTGGCACATAGCTGTAATCCCAGCCCTCAAGAGTCTGAGGCCACAAGTTCAAGGCCAGCCTAGGCCACACTGTGAGTTCAAGGTCAGCCTAAACTACATAATGAGACCCTTTCTCAAAAAAAACCAAAATAAAATAAAATTTATCATTTCAAAAAATGTTATAATAAATGGAATCATTGGTTTCCTCTTATTGCTGAGTACTCCATGGTTTGAATATACCGTGGTTTTTGTAACCATTCACCATTGAAGAACATCCATGTTTTAGCTATTACAAATAAAGCTGTTATGAACATCTGTGTATGTGTTTTCATGTGAGCATAAGGCTTAATTTTTCTGGGTTAAATACCCAAGCATGCAGTGGCTAAGCTACGTGTTCACATCCTCACTAGCATTTGGAATTGCTGCTGTTTTGTATTTAAGCCATTCTGATAATTATGTGGAGATATCTCATTGTGGTTTGTATTTGTATTTCCCTGGTGTTGAACACTTTTTCATGTGTTTATTTGCCATCCATATATTCTCTTTGGTAAAATCCCCCCTACCCACCCCCTTTTGTGGTTCTGCTCTACATCCTCAGTGGTTTATTATTATTTATTTAGAGACAGGTCTCACTAAGTTGCTAAATTGCCCAGGGTGGGCTCAAACTCACAATCCTCCTGCCTCATACTCCCATGGTGATGGAATCACAGACATGTTGCTACCATGATTACACATTTGGAGTACAGAGATAAAAGACCAAGATCAGAGAACTGGCAGTTTGGAGGAGAGAAATAAGTAGGTTTTTGTGTAGGGGCAGGGTATGTACATTCCAGTGAAAGAATCAGTGCTTCCTGAAGGAGGTAATATCTGATCACCATTTGAAGGCCTGAATATATTTATTACTATCTATCTATATCTATATCGATCTACTGCCTTTACACATAGGATATTAATATAGTAAGAACTGTACAGTATATTCTAAACCTTTACAGGGCAACCTTCTTTTTAAGTAATTCATTATGCAAACTTGTCATTAATTAAAAGTTAACAAACACTGAACATAAAACATCTTCCTAGGTTCTTGAGGAGTCTAAGATGGAGATGACCATATTCCAGATCCAAAGATATATGATCTAATGGAAGCTGATTATCCATAACAAGCTGATAGAAACACAAATCTAGTCACTGGAGAATTATAGGGGAGTAAGAAATTAATGCTCAGCAGGAGGTTAGAGAAGGATTTTTGGAAGAAGGGGAGTTTGAACTGAGATTGGAAAAATGAGTAGAACTTTAAGAGGTAGATCAAAAGGGAACAAATTTCATGAAAGAAATCTTTTGTAGTAATGGTGATCAAACCCAGGGGAGTACTACTATTGAGCTACATTCTAGCTTTTTATTTTCATTTTGAGACAGGTTCTTGCTGAGTGTCCCAGGTTGGCCTTAAACTTACAATCCTCCCGCCTCAGTCTCCTGAGTCTGCCACTGCACTCAGCCAAAAGGGAACAAATTTGTCTTACACTCAGATCCCTACATGTTATTAGCTTCCAAGTCTCCATCTTGCTCTTACCCGCAGAGTTGCTTCTGAGGAAAGGTCTTCACCCTAGTGTCAGAATTCGTATTTTGTTCATGGGTTCAGTTAAAGAGGTGCTGGGAAAGTTGTATCTAGTTTTTGGATGAGTTCCACAGTCTGATTTTATAAAGTCTTTCATCCTATAGATGGCCAATCTGAGGTCAAGTTCAGCCTAGCCCCAGTGCCCCTACTCTGTCTAGAAAGTTCCCAAGCCTGGACAAGGGAGTGATGTGATTTTTCTCGTTATGGTCCCACTAAAAATAAAAATTAAAAAAAGTGAAGTGTTATGAAGTAAGTGCACTGGGGAGTATTGACTTCATAAATAGCAATATTTTTACACAAATCTTCAAGGAATTTTTACATATATTTGGATAAGCCACGTTTACCAATTAGTGACTTGTAAAGAGTGTCAAGAAAAACAGCTGGGCATTGTGGTGCACGCCTGTAATCCCGGTGTGCACTCGGGAGGCTAAAGTAGGAGGATCACAAATTCAAGCCCAGCCCAAATTAGCACGTTAGAAAGATCCTGTCTCAAAAAAGAAGAAAAGGAGATTTGGGGCTGGCTTGATGTAAAGGCCCTGGGTTCAATCTCCAGGACCAGGAAAAACAAGTGTCAAGAAAAGACAAGATAAACCAGCTTCAAAAACCTCTGCTCAAGCCAGGGTATGGTGGTGCCTGCCTGTAATCCCAGCATTCAGGAGGCTGAGGCAGGAGGAGCAGCCTGAACTACATAGACCCTATCTCAAAAAAAACCCCTTCTGTTCAGCATAGATTAAAATGGTAGGAAGCTGGAAGATAATTATGAGATGGGAAGAAAATCAGATTTCTTCTTTCAATCAGGAAAAAAAAAGGCAATTACAAGCTGTAGAATATGTAAAAATATCTTACGAGTAAGTAAGTCATGGTCCAAATGTGAAGCAAACCACACTATAGCATGACTTTGAGACATTCATGAAGAAAGGATATTCCATGTCTAAAATTTTCCTTAAGTGATACAAGGTCAAGATGGTGGATTTGTATGGAAAAAGATTGTGATCATTGCAGTGAACAGTATTTCTGTACTCGCAATATTGTAAGTGCTGTTTAGGATCCTCTTAGAGAAGACAAGTACATTTACAGAACAAGAATGGAAACAGTCAAACACACCCAGGCGTATGAGGTAGAGGTGGGGTCTCTCATGGTCTTCTTAAACAGTAGAAAATTCGGATACTGCGCCACATTGATGAATGAGTGAGCTGAGGTTTTCAGTTTATTATTTAAGATACAAATTTGGGTAACTAATAGAAGAATAGCATAATTGTCAAAAAGTGGATGGAGTGGAAAGGAGAGGAGAAGTACTATATTATAAATTAAATAATAACTTTTCAGGATGAGCAGTCTAAAGAAATAAAGGCTTATTTTGAGTTAGGAATAATCGCCAGAACCAGTTGAAAGTGAAAGCAGTACTAGAAGTGAGGAGAGGAGAGGCTGAGAGAGTTTTACTGTCAGGTATGAAATTGCTTTGGTGAAAACAAATGAGAAAAAACAGTTGTATTGACCAACAAGAAAATGTATTCAAAGGATCAAGCAACATAGTATCAGATATACCTAAAAATTCCAGTTGTTTAATTTATGAAAGTTAGGTAAAGAAACACTTCTGTGATGGGAAATTTAGTATAACTTCAAGTATTTCACTACCTAATGTCAAGAGAAAACCTGTAAGCATTTTAAGTTTTCCTGAGTTCACCCTCAACTCTGGTATAGACATTTGATTGCCATTTTTGTTACAGAGAGAGCTTGGGTTTGGAGTTCTTTTTTTTTTTTTTTGGTACCAGGGATCAAACTGGAGACCTTGAGCTTGCCAGGCAGGTGGCAGCACCACTGAGCTAAATCCCACCCCTCTTCTTTGTTTTGAGGTAAACAAAATGAACTGCTATGAGTTTTTTCCAAAGATTTAAGGTGTCTGGAGTTATATAGATCTTATTCTATTTAATATATAGTTAAGCTCTTCTCATATTGTGAGATTTCCACTTATTTTTTCCACATAAGACAGTTCTGATTTTATGATGCCAGTCACTGAAAAATGACATTCACTATAATTTAGCTTGGGACATAGCTATTGCTAAGGTTCAGGTTGCCAGACTCCAAGATCACACCTGCAAGTTCATGTTGGTGTCTACTCCCAGGCTGCTGCCCAGCATGTGGGCACTGATGGATGCTGCTGTGCTGTGCCCTGTGTATGCAGGGCATTCTTCGGTGCCATCCTGTGGTTGTGATGCTCAACTAGAACATGTCTTCATTCTCTTCTCTCCAGGAAGGCCCTTTTGTCTACTTGTCCATAGTAGGAAACATTGCCAATTCCAATGGCTTGATTGCATCTTTATGTAAGTAATTAAAAACATTTGCATTTGAAATGACAGAGATTAATTCTAAATGTGACCATCAATGAAATGAATTCCTGTATCACATACTGTATGATTCTATGTCAATGAAATGTTCAGAATAAGTGACTCTGTAAACACAGATAAGAGATTAGTGGTTGCCTAGGGTTGGGGGTGAGGGGAGGAGCATTGTAGGGAAGAGGAAAGGAACTGCTAATGGGTCAGGGTTTCTTTTGGGGGTAATGCAATTGTCTAAATTCGATTGTAGTTCAAACCTGTGGGTGCATTAAAGCCCATTCTTTAAACAGAAGAGTTGCATGGCATGTGAATTATACCTCAATAAAATTGTGTATAAAAAACATTTATGTAAGTGCACATTGAAGAGCTTGGAGCATTTAAACTGGGTGGGGTTTTTTTTCATACTTTTAATATCAACTTTCTTTTTGTTGTACATCAGTATTTGTATTTTTGTAGTTTCCCAACTCCTCCTGCCTTGTGGTTATTAACTAGTTTTCCCTACTTCTTCATGCCTGCTGTAAATCACCCAACATTCAATCAGTTAGTGTCGCTTCCCACCATGTTCTGTGTTGGTACTGAAGTAAATGAGCCACCTAGCAAGCAGCATCTTTGCTACTTTTGTAAAACTGCCTTGCTCAGGATAACTGCTTTCAGATTCTGTGCTCTAATTCTTTTTTTTTTTTTCCATTAACTTTATTGATACATTTTAGGTATCTAGTACAGTTACATTCATCACTGGGATCTTGTACCTTTACATGTTTTATCTTGGTTCTTATTTTTTCCCCATTCCCCTGCCCTCCCTTCATCCTCTCCGCCCTTCCCTATTTACAAAGACTTTGTTTCCATTTTTTTCCTTTTCTCTTATTTTTTCTTTTCTTTCCCCTAACCCTCTCACTTCCTCTATTCCTTTAGACATTTTCTTTCTATTTCACAATATCAGTTATACATTTTGATCCTTATTTACACTTTTAGTTTTTCACACCAGAGAAACTATTCGGTTTTTACATGTGTGTTCTATTTATTTCACTTAAGAGTATCGCCTCAATGTGCATCCACTTAGCTATAAATGTCTCTAATTTCTCGTTCTTTATGGCTGAGTAGTACCCCATTTTATTAAAAGAAACCACATCTTCTTTATCCAGTCTCCAGTTGATGGGCAATTTGGCTATTTCCAAGTTTTAACTATTACAAACTGTGCCGCTATAAATATGGGTGAGCATATATCACTGTGGTATGATTCTTTTAATTCTTTTGGGAAGATACCCAGCAGAGGGATAGCTAGGTCAAATGAGACTTCCAATCCTGGTTGTTTGAGGTATCTCGAACTTGATTTCCACAGTGGTTCCAACAGTTTGCATGTTGTGTCCAGATTGTGAAGTCCCAGAGACCACCAGGAGGCCGTTTCCGATGTAAGCACACAAGGGTCGTTTATTCAAGCTTAAGCAGGGACTCTCAACTGTCACCGACACAGCGGATCGAGATTGAGAGCCCTGAGTCCCTAACTAGCAGG